GTATGTATGTATGTATGTATGTATGTATGTATGTATGTATGTATGTAACAGGTATATTTTTATTAACATTGTTTCTGTTCTGCTCTATTATAAGTTTCAACAAGTTTGTTATTTGACCATATTAGCTGAAGGGCGCTAAAAACAATGATGAATTTCAGGGGTTTAGTTGCTTATTTTAATTATGAAAAAACTGCAAGTTATTTTCATGAACTGCTTATAGGTCTTTAGAATGGAATAGTTTAATAAATTATAAATAAATACAAATGCAAAGAAATCTGAATCCTGTAGTCTTCAAATGCACTTTAATAATATATTCTATTTTTGTGACTTATGACATCCATCAAATCCTTCTTTACTTTTAAACTGTGTGCCAATTTTATTTCTTGCAAGTATGTAGTGGTGAGGAAATCCCAAAACATGTTGGCTTAGATCTAATTTCACAAACTAATGTATTTAAATCCACTTCAAACAATTGTTGGTTAAAATCATGGCTAATTCAACTGACTGAGTTTTAGTTTCTTCACTCTTTTCTACTAGATCTGATCCTTTGTTCACAGCATTCTGTAAGATGAATCTAATTCAGATCTAATAGGGCTTGTCATGGTTACATGATTTTTGCTCACAGAGCACAAAAAATATGACCAAGTTAACATGTAGCATTTGCGTGAAGCTGGTTAATTTCGTTTAGATTTCCCATTGGAGTCATCACTCAATGGGACTATCTCAGCAAAAAAGCTAGGAAAAAAGATTCTGCTTGGGAGATTAACAATAATGATGGGCTCTTATCATTTTTATTAAGATTACATATTTCAGTCTGAAGTTTATACATTTATACATTTCCTGTTTGCTCTGTTCTAACATTTGGACAATAACTATTTGAAGAAAATAATCTCTAAAATTTGCAAGCTTTCATTAATGGTAAAGCATTACCAGGTTTACCCTCTAAGGTCACAGGAACTAATAACATTTTTCTTGCAAACTATGTATACATTGACTCATGTAAGTACATCTGTGTAGGCAGTTGCTCTATATTTTGAATAAAACTAAGTTTTCCGCTAAAGATATACTCTTCCTGTTCTGTTTATTTGTTTATTTTGGCAAATATTTGTTCCAGCTAAATATGTAAGAAAAAGTAATTCAACTAGTGTGTTTTGTATATTTTTAACTATTAAAGGAATTGGAGGATTATGGAATCTCTCCCTCCTTTCCTCTCTCTTATAGAAATCTATTTTAAAGGTTTTGTAATTAATAAAAAAGATTGGATTGCTCAAACAACCCACTTTATCTACTTTTAAAATAACATTCAAAACTATATTGGATAAAATACGCCCCTCCCATGCCCGAAACCTATTCCACATTTTTTCCTTAAGAAAATATTTAAAGTGAAAAAAGATGAAGTAGTAGCTTAATGTTTTTTGATTGAAGATTCCTAGCGTTACTAAAGAAGGCAGTGACCAAGTCACTTCCTCCTTGTTTTGAACAAAAGTATAGCGAAATAGCACATGAAATCACAGCTCAGGTTTGAATTGAAAGAGTTTTTACCATTTTTAAGCATTCAAAGTGATGTTGGGTTCTTGTATGTTTGAATAGGCTTTATATGTATGAATATGTTTCTTTGTACCTTGAGATAATATTCAAAAGAGACTCCCATGGTTGATCAGAGTTGTTCTACACTGCTAATATGCATAGCTAATTGCAATATACATATACATATACATATACACATACATACATACATACATACATACATACATACATACGTGTGTGTGTGTGTGTGTGTGTGTGTGTGTGTG